ACCAGCAACCATGTCTCCCCACTCTACGGCCTCAGGTGGCATATAGAGTAGGGACGACCTTGGGTGTGGTGTGGGAGAGGGGGAACCCTGATTTCAGCGGAGCGACTTTGAGAGACATTGAGCTACAGTATACATATTGTCGCACTACGTAGCTGCTACATTGGGCTGTATCCAATCAAAGGGTCTTGATGTGACATAATTCCTCTTTCTGTTTCCTGCTTACGTTGCTGCGCAAAAGTGACACTTCTGTAGCGCGACATTGTACGACATTGAGCAACATCATTGAAGGCCAACTCAAACGAAATCCGCCGAAGGATAGGTCTTGTTCGAGTGACAAGCTTGAGCTACAAGCTACAGGCGACCTTGAGCTGTGAGATGTGAACAGCTCCATTGAAATGCATTGGACGAGCTACTTGAGCAATTTTTTAGCTGAAATCGCGCTACAAATCGCTCGGTGTGAATGGGATCTTAGTAATTGATCCTATTAACCCTTTCATTTGGTTTGTGCAGAGAACTACAACAACACTGTTGCTATATTTCACTTTCCCATTGATCAGCGTTGTGTTCTTTTTTTTTTCTTCCCAATTGTTGTTCATGTCACGGCTAACTTATTTTTCCTTTCTTAGATCTGCCTAAACCGTCAGTGTCAGAACATCAGCGTATTGGGTGTCCACGACTGTGCATCCAAGTGCCACGGACACGGAGTGAGTAGCGCAGAGCCCTTTTCATTTCTTCTCCGATTTGTTGGCAGGAAAGGCCAGTTCTTAGAAAGTGGAGCTCTCCTAATGATAGGAGCGATCCTTTGAACGTTTAATCGCAGCCCGTATTAATTTGGCAAATTCAGCAAGCTATTGTAGGCAAAATGATTAACTACAGTAGCGCATTGAAATGATAATGAGCTGGCGGTGACAATGGGGGAGCTTACACTGCTACAACACGATCATTTACATATACTGCTAATGTGGACACCGATAAGAAATTACACTTAGACTCCTCAATGAAAATGGCTGTGTGTCATTTCTTATCTCCTAACTCCCTGGAGAAGATCTCAACGTCAGAGTACGCCCTTCAGTATTCTGATACCAGAATACGATTGAAGCATGGCAAACAGTTCTACAAGTATGAACTCTAGGCAAATGGAAAGCTTCCATGGAGTCTCTCATCCCCCCCCCCTCTTTCAACTCTCTCTTTACTTCTTCTTCTGTCTATCATTTATTTCTCTATTTAAACTGTACATCCGGGCAAAATATTAAAAAGAAAGGTATTCAGTACATCTTTGCAATACATGCACGTTTCCCCATGTTTTGTCTCTTTAAAAATTCTGCAAGTACAAAATAATTCCTGCCGATCTGCCAGTCCAAAAACTCCTAACATGCTGTGGTGGGTTGACATTGTTGGATCTGAGTATTGTCAGCCCTGAGTTCTCCCTTGCTGGATTCACCTCCCACCTGTGCTATGGAGAGTGGGAGGTGTTCTTTAGTCAAACAGAAGAAATCTCAGGCAAATCTGACAACAATGCTCAGTGCAGCAGAGGCACTGTGCTGTCAGCTCAGACTGGAGGTTAAGAGCGCACTGGATTTCTGACAGACCAGCGGGTATTTACCTGTACTTGATGCTTTTTTTTATATTGCGCCCTGATATACATTTTGATCATTTCTCCCTCTTCTTTCATTATCTCTTTTTTTCTTTCTTTCCCCACTTTCCCTTTTCTTTCTGTCCCCACTTTCCCTTTTCTTTCTTTCTGTCCCCACTTTCCCTTTTCTTTCTTTCCCCACTTTCCCTTTTCTTTCTTTCTTTCCCCACTTTCCCTTTTCTTTCTTTCTTTCCCCACTTTCCCTTTTCTTTCTTTCTTTCCCCACTTTCCCTTTTCTTTCTTTCTCCATTTTCCCTTTTCTTGTTTCTTTCCTCACTTTCTTATTCTCTTTTTTGGCCCTCGTATTTTTCCATTATTATATATTTGTACTTAAAGTACACCTGTTATGAGAAAAATATGGGACTTCCTTTTCTGATCTGATGCTTTGTTCAGTAGTTTAAGTCACTCTCCCGAAACAAGGAATTCTGCCTTTTCCCTAATTTTCTTATGCTGCCTGCTTGTTCCGGGTCTGGGACTCTGAGCCAGACACAACCATACAAGACATGCATGTATGCTCCAGCTACCCTTTGGGCACCAGGTCTGGGTGGTGCTGTCACAGGAATGTTCAGCTGAGCTGAATATGTGAAGGGAAGGAGGAGACAAGACCGGAAGATCAGCAATAAACTTTTTTTTTACAGTAAACTCCATAACAAAGACCAGAGGCCACCACTTAAAATTGGTGGAGAAAAGATTTAACCACAAAGGGCATAGGGGCTTCTTTTCAGTCAGAGTGGTAAATTTTGGAACTCTCTGCTACAAGCAGCGGTATCAGCAGAGGGTATTGGTTCATTCAAAAATAATTTAGATACCTTCCTCAGAGACCGTAACATACTGGGGTACAGGTACTCTTAAATACAAGATCATACAGGGACTCATATACACACATGCACAGTCACACACATACACACAAAAGATATGTGAAAATCACAGGCGCCAAAACACAGTAACTACTCCTGAAAATGGTCTTCCAATGGTATATACAGGGGGCAGCTCCTCACAGTCAAGGGAAACCGAAATGAATTTATTAAGGATAAAACACACAGCTGAAAAGGTACTTAAAATACAAACCAGTTTGTATAAACGAGCAGAAAGCAATATAATCTCAGGAGACCATCAAGATGAATACACGAAAATAGGGTGAGGGAAAGGAAGTGCTAGTACTAAGCCGAAACCATCTGGACGCTGACCCTCCTTCAGTTAATGCGTTTTTGAGGACAAAACTCTTTCAACAGAACCTAGCAGCACGCTCTTTCAACAGAACCTAGCAGCACGCTCTTTCAACAGAACCTAGCAGGTTCTGATGAAAGAGGTTTGTCCTCAGAAACGTGTTAACTGAAGGAGGGTCAGCGTGCAGATGGTTTCGGCTTAGTACTAGCACTTCCTTTCCCTCACCCTATTTTCGTGTATTCATCTTGATGGTCTCCTGAGATTATATTGCTTTCTGCTCGTTTATACAAATTGGTTTGTATTGTAAGTACCTTTTCAGCTGTGTGTTTTAGCCTTAATAAATCCATTTTACACTATGGAGGCGCTCCTTTTGCTTTATCCTCATCACATACACACAAAGGTTGAACTTGATGGACATGTGTCTTTATTCAACCTCAAATACTATGTAACTATGCAAGTTGTTCCCCCAGGAAGCACAGTCATGGTTATTACCTGTAAAAGTAATCTGTACTGAAAAAATGGGAGGCCGGCATGAATGAACTTTACTTCTAATAATGCTATAGATGCGTGGCTATCACCTTTAATCAATGGCTTTAGAATTGTCTAAACTACTGAACAAGGCTAATATGGAGATCAGTAGTGGTTGCTGCATGCTTGGCTGAGCCAATGACTACAGGTATTAAAGTCAGAGATGGCCAGGTAACTAGTACTTTCCGAATGAGTTCAGCAATGGCAGCCCCTTAATTCTCTCAGCACAATTCCTGGAAAGACCACTACAGGTATCAATTGTAATGGACAGGAATTGAGTGAGCAGGATAGCCTCATTGCAGACAATTCAAACTCTCTAATCAGAAGACAGCTAATTGTCAGCGTAGTGTATTGTGTTACATGTGAAATGTACCGGGCTTCAGTGGATAGTTATATCCTTTATATTCGTTTAAGGACATGCTCAGGCTCGCAGGAGAGGAAATGAGATATTTGCATCACAAAGAAAGACTTTATTAAACATGGATTTTAAATTAAACCATCACGAAATTCAAAGCGCGTTTCATTTTCCAGAGCAAGTGTTCATTAACACTTCAATGTTACACCGTTACAAACATTGAACTGTTATACTTTGAAAGGTGGAAGAGTCTAAATATTGATTCACTTGAATCACTGCTATAGCACGCAGCATTGCTTGAAGTAGACAAGAGAACACCTGCAAATATGAAGTTCCAACCACAAATACTGGAAAATGAAGTGGGATGAGCATTCGGAGAGGGAACTGGGATTTTTGACTACTCTTTTTAGTGAAATTTCAGGTAAACGGATAAATATATACAGCTGAAACACTAACATTTAGAGCTCTTGCACAAGGGCGCCGACTCCTGTACACTATAGATGCCGGTGTATTCCCGCTGGCAGAGAGCCCCAGGTGCAGCTTACAGCCTCACACTGAAGCCAATGGCTGTTGTTGGCAGGCATATGCACGGACACAGTGTTTCAGAAGCACCCAATCTGCGCTCAAAATGTCATGTCCGTGCGTATGTTTACGCAGTGTTGACATATACCCGCCGACAACAACGTACAGCTATTGACTTTAGCGTGAGGCTGTAGGCTGCACCTGGGGCTCTCTTTCAGTGGGAATACATGCGCATTTACGGTGTACGGGGGCCACTGCCCGTGTGCAAGAACCCTTAGGAGGTTTTCATTACTTTTGTGCGCAGCATTCAAAAGCTCTTGCATGCTGTGCTGTTGGTGTGTTTTCCAGCAGGCTGCACCTCCCGCAGGGGCGAATGGTACCATTTGTAAAATTAAGCAAAAGGGCAGCTAAATCACAGCACACTGCGGCTGCTTCACATGCAATGGGATTCCTCACTTAGTGTCTGGAAACTCTAACAGTTAACTTCTATTTGCTCCCTTTTGGTTGGTAGATACTACAAACACCCAAAAAACAAGGAAGTACATAGGGTGTGTAAAGTACATCCTGTGCTTTTGCCCCTCTGCCATTCTCCCTTCACACTTGCTGGCAATTCCCAACTGTCAAAATGACAGCCGGTAGTTGCTACTTAAATACAGCAGCTGTGATAACTTCTGCTGTAAAAAAAAAAATTCTAAATAACTTTGCATTGCTTTGTAAAATAAATTTAGTGTAATTTTAAATGGGACAATAGGTAGAATAAAATCTTTGCTTGTCTACAGTAATACTATTATTTTTTTCTCTGATCAAAGTAAAAAAAAGTGTTTTTTTTTGTCTATTGATTGCATAAAATATAAAATCCTTTTTGCAAGACAATAGCACTGAAAGCCTTGCTTATCCTAAAATAGATGCATTACCCATAGTATATATACATATACCTCCTGACAGCCATGCATTGAAGCACCTCGCAATGTACATTACTACAATAACATACGTTGCATTGCTGGGGGGGGGGGGGGGGGGGGGGGGCGTTTTTTTTTTTTTTTTTTTTT